TCTCTGGAGGTCACAGCCATCTCCTCATGGTCCCACCACCATGTTGTGGTGACACCTCAGGTCTCCACCACCACCCAGGGCACCCGAGGTGATGGTGAGTTGTGTAAAAGCTTCTTGAGGAGTTGTCTTCTCCTGGGAGCTCGTGGGCGTCTTAATTAGCACCAATGAAGGGTTCGTTAACGAGGAGCCGCTAACGAGGCCCCCCACCGAGAGAACCTGTCTGGCCAAGCTGGAGAACCTGCCCCCGCCCTGGTTACACCATCGACACCCAGAACCTGGGGTGCAGGGAGGAGGTGGGGTGGGGTGGGGTGGAGAAGATGGAGAAGACCCAACCTCATCCCATCTCCTGACCACGCCCCCCGAGCTGGAAACTCCGCCCCCCCCCGGGAGAGTGGAATGGGTGCGGGGTGACAGCGCCCTCTGGTGGGGTGGAGGTGTGGGTGTGTGGTGGAGATGGGTGTCCTGGATGTGAGGGTGCGTGGAGATGTGTGGTGGACACGTGTCATGGACAGGTGGACATGTCATGGACATGAGGACATGGAGATGTGTGGTGGACGCGTGTCATGGACACGTATCATGGACATGTGGACACATATGGGCAGGTGGACATGTGTCATGGACATGAGGACATGGACAGTTGGACGTGTGTCATGGACATGTGTCATGGACAGGTGGACATGTGTCATGGACGTGTCATGGACAGGTGGACATGTCTCATGGATGTGAGGATCTGTGGACACATGTGGTGGTCGTGTGTCATGGACACATGCGTGGACAGTTGGACGTGTGTCATGGATGTGTGGACATGTGGACACATGTGGGGGACGTGTCATGGACAGGTGGACATGTGTCATGGATGTGTGGACATGTGGACATGTGTCATGGACAGGTGGACGTGTGTCATGGAGGTGAGGACCTGGGGACACACGCGGTGGACGTGTGGTATGGACACGTGTCATGGACATGTGGACACATGTCATGGACAGTTGGATGTGTGTCATGGACGTGTGGACATGTGGACATGTGTCATGGACAGGTGGACGTGTGACATGGATGTGAAGATCTGTGGACATGTGTGGTGGACAGGTGTCATGGACACGTATCATGGAGGTGTGGACATGCGGACACATATCATGGACAGGTGGACACGTGTCATGGAAAGGTGGATGTGTGTCATGGAGGTGAGGACGTGGACACATGTGGTGGACGTGTCATGGACATGCGTCATGGATGTGTGGACATGTGTCATGGATGTACAGATGTGTCATGGACAGGTGGACATGTGTCATGGATGTGTGGACATGTGGACATGTGTCATGGACAGGTGGACGTGTGTCATGGAGGTGAGGACGTGGACACGTGTGGTGGACGTGTCATGGACATGAGTCATGGATGTGTGGACATGTGTCATGGATGTACAGATGTGTCATGGACAGGTGGACATGTGTCATGGACGTGAGGATCTGTAGACACATGTGGTGGACGTGTGTCATGGACACGTATCATGGCCATGTGGACATGTGTCACGGCTGTGTGGACATGTGGACACGTATCATGGACAGGTAGACGTGTGTCATGGATGTGTGGCCATGTGTGGTGGACATGAGGAGAAGTTCCATGGATGTCATGGATGTGAGGACATGTGGATGTGTAGACACGTGTCAAGGACGTGTGGACACGTGTCATGGGTGTATGGACCTGTGTCATGGTCTTGAGGACATCTGGATGTGTAGACACGTGGTGGACACGTGTCATGGGTGTATGGACCTGTGTCATGGTCTTGAGGACATCTGGATGTGTAGACACGTGGTGGACACGTGTCATGGATGTGTGGACATGTGTTGTGGACATCAGGACATGTGGACACATGTCATGGATGTACAGACATGTCATGGACACGTGTCATGGATGTGTGGACACACGTGGCTTGCTGGCCAACCAGCACCTGCTGGTCTCCAGCAGTGGCCAATGAACGTGGCCGGATCTCCAAAGCCAGCTGGCCTATCACCACCCACGTCTTGCCAAAGTCATTGGCCAATCAGATCACGTTGTTCTCCAAAGCTGCTGACCAATGTCTACCAATCATCTCCCTCACCTTCCAAAACTGACCTACCAGCGTGGTCACCTCTCCAAACCCAACCAACCAATGGGAACCTCCGCGTGGTTGCACCCATCCACACGCGGTCATCCATCCAGAACCCAACCCAACCAATCAGAAGCTGATCTCCACCAGAACCAACCACCCAATCATCTCCCTCACCTTCCAAAACTGACCTACCAGCGTGGTCACCTCTCCAAACCCAACCAACCAATGGGAACCTCCGCGTGGTTGCACCCATCCACACGCGGTCATCCATCCAGAACCCAACCCAACCAATCAGAAGCTGATCTCCACCAGAACCAACCACCCAATCATCTCCCTCACCTTCCAAAACTGACCTACCAGCGTGGTCACCTCTCCACACATCTCCAAACCCAACCAACCAATGAGAACCTCCATGTGGTTGCACCCATCCACACGTGGTCATCCATCCAGAACCCAACCCAACCAATCAGAAGCTGATCTCCACCAGAACCAACCACCCAATCATCTCCCTCACCTTCCAAAACTGACCTACCAGCGTGGTCACATCTCCAAACCCAACCAACCAATGAGAACCTCTTTGTGGTTGCACCCATCCACACGTGGTCATCCATCCAGAACCCAACCCAACCAATCAGAAGCTGATCTCCACCAGAACCAAGCAGCCAATCGGCGCCGTGTCCCCATGAAGCAAGACCAGGCGGTGCCGGTGCCGAGGGATTAGAGAAGGTGGTGGCCAAGCGTCTTCACGCCCATCAGGTGTCTCCAACTCAACGCTGGGGTGGGACAAGCCGGGTCAGATCCTCGACGTCGTTATAAAACCCCAGGAGGTTGAGGTGGGTGGGACTGGAGAAGACACGTCAGGGCTGGTTGGGACGGGTTGAGGTGTTTGTGGTGCTGCTGGTGCTGCTGGTGGTGGAAGGTTGGTTGGTTGGTTGGTTGGTTGGTGGAGAAGGTGGGACACAAGAAGGTTTCACCAGGCGAGGACGTTGGCCAGGAACCAAGGAGATCTTCACGGCGGGGAAGGACGCGGGTGTGGTCCCCACCCGGCGGGGAACAGCCGGGATCTGCCGAGAGGTTTGCTGGGGTGGAGGTGGTGGGTGGTGGGGTGGAGGTGGTGGGACCCCATCAGCAAGAGGTCATGGGCCATGGTTGTCCTTGGTCTCCATCCACCCATCCTCCTCGTTTGCTCCAGCTCTGGGTCTCCAACCTTCCTTCCTTCTCCATATTTGACCCGTCCCTTTGTCCCTGGTCTCCAACCTTCCTCCTTTCTCCATGTTTGATCCATCCCTGGTCTCCATCCATCCCTGGTCTCCATCCATCCCTGGTCTCCATCCATCCATCCCTCCTTCTCCATGTTGGACCATCCTTCTGTCCCTGGTCTCCATCCTTCCTTCCTCCTCCATGTTTGCTCCATCCCTGATGTTCCACCATCCCTCCTTCTCCAGGCTTCCTCCAGCCCTGATCTCCTTCTCCTTCCTTCCTTCTCCATCCCTCCGTCCCTCATCTCCATCCATCCATCCATCCATCCATCCCTTCTTCTCATGATCCCTCTATCCCTCCTTCTCCATCCTTCCTCCATCCTTCCTTCCTTCTCCAAACTTGCTCCATCTCTCCATCCATGGTCTCCAACCCGCCATCCATGATCTCCAACCCTCCATCCATGATCTCCAACCCTTCCTCCTTCTCCATGCTGGCCCCATCCCTCCTTCCCCACATCCCTCTCTGTCCTCATCCAACTTCTCCACAAGGAACCACCACCCATCTCCCTGGGACCCATCACCCATCTCCATGGGGCCCACCACCCATGTCCATGGGGCCCACCATCCATGTCCATGGGGTCCACCACCCGTCTCCATGGGACCCACCACCCATCCCCATTGGGCCCACCACCCATCCCCATGGGACCCACCACCCATGACCATGGGACCCACCACCCATCTCCTTGCACCCATGGGACCCATTTCCTGGATCTGTGGGGCCCGTGGCACATGTCCACAGGGCGTGGTGACCCACACCCATGGGTGGCACCAACCTATGACCATGGGAACCGTGACCCACAGTCACGTGGAGCTTTGACCCACTTCTATGAGGTCCACAAACCTCTTCCATGGGGAGAAATGACCCACTGAGGTGAAGAACCAGGACCCACCTTCATGGGGAGTGATGACCCGTGGTCATGGATGTCTCCACCACATGACCGTGGATGTCTCCACCCCATGGCCATGGGGAACCATGACTTAGAGCTATGGGGAACCATGACCCATGGAGAACCATGATCGATGGAGAACCATGATTGATGGAGAACCATGACCCACAGCCATGAGACACCACAACCCACAACCACCAGGAGAAACCACCCATGTTCTTGCAACCCAAATGTCCATGGGGAGCAAAGGTGTCTCCACTGAAGAACCCTGACCCCCAACCATGATGGGGGTGGGGGGACACCACGATCTATATCTCCATGGGGTTAAGGACCCCGACCCACAGCTCCAACCCTGAGGGAGGCATCCAAGGGCAGAGTGAGGTTCTGGGAGGTCAATCGCCTGAAGACAAGGTGGAGGAGGTGGAGGAGTTGGTGGAACCCATAATTACGTGGCCCTCATTAAGGATGACTGGGGCTGATGACATCATCGTTGCAAAAGGGCGATGACAGGGTGACTTGTGGAGCTGAGATGGTTGGGTGGAGGCCACCGAGGTGGTGGGACCTTCATCACCCTGGTGTAGACCCCCAACAAATGGTGTAGACCCCAAAATGATGTAGATCTTTGGTGGTCACCCCACCCAAACCCCAAAACGTGGAGGTACCACGATGCCCCAAGAAACATCTCACCTTCTCCTGGAGTTGGGAGGGAGAAGGTCCAGGTGATGCCACCAAAATCCAAAATCATGGGACCTCTGCCCCACAGCGGCCATGACGATGGAGATACGAGCCATGGTGGCCCTCAGGTTATGGAGAACCATGAAGCTGCTGGGAACCTTGGTCTTGGTGACCTCCACGGGTGAGTGTAGGGGTGGAAGGTCCAACTATGGGTGAAGACACGTGTGTGGTGGCACTAAGAGGTGTCTCCTTGGTTCTTCACCCCGTTTGTAGGGTCCTCGGTGGCCGGTGACACGCGCGTGGTGGGCGGCATGGCCTGTGACCCTCACTCGCAGCCGTGGCAGGCGGCCATCTTGGACATGTACAAGCTCTACTGCGGTGGTGTCCTGGTGGCCAAGCAGTGGGTGGTGACGGCCGCCCACTGCACCACCCCGGGGTAAGGTGACAACTTGTGTGTGGCACGTGTCTCCTGTCTCCATGTGGGTTGTATCTCCAGATGGTCCATCACACCTTGGTGTGGTGGGTCCCCATCCCACGTGTTGTGGTCTTTGTGGTCCACGTGTGTCATGGATCCATGCAGGTCATGGTCATGGTGTGGTCTACACGTGTCCTGGTCGTGCTGTAGACCCCATGTCCCACCCATGGACCATGTCATGTCCCACATGTGGGTCATGATGTGTCCTACACATGTCCTGGCCATGATGTAGACCCCATGTCCCACCCATGATGTAGATCCCATGTCCCACCCATGGACCATGTCATGTCCTGCACGTGTCCTGGACATGTTGTAGACCCCATGTCCCACCCATGATGTAGACCCCATGTCCCACCCATGGACCATGTCATGTCCCACATGTGGGTCATGATGTGTCCTACACATGTCCTGGCCATGATGTAGACCCCATGTCCCACCCATGGACCATGTCATGTCCTACACGTGTCCTGGTCATGTTGTAGACCCCATGTCCCACCCATGGACCATGTCATGTCCTACCCATGTCCTGGTCACACTGTGGACCCCACGTCCCATGTGTCCTCCAAGAGCTGTGGCCACATCACAGCCCCCATGTCCCACCCATGGACCATGTTCTCCATGTCCTACATGTGTCCTGGCCATGCTGTAGACCCCACGTCCCACCCATGGACCACGCCATGTCCTACAGGCGTCCTGGTCACACTGTGGACCCCACGTCCCACGTGTCCTCCAAGAGCTGTGGCCACATCACAGCCCCCATGTCCCACCCATGGACCATGTTCTCCATGTCCTACACGTGTCCTGGTCATCCTGTGTCCCACCCCATGTCCCACCCATGGACCATGTCATGTCCTACCCGTGTCCTGGTCACACTGTAGACCCCACGTCCCACGTGTCCTCCAAGAGCTGTGGCCACATCATAGCCCCAATATCCCACCCATGGACCATGTTCTCCATGTCCTACACGTGTCCTGGTCACACTGTGTCCCACCACGTGTCACATCTCCACCATGGTCTCCATGTCCCCTTCCCACCCATGTCATGATCTCCATGTCCCCACATCCCACATGTGTCCTGGTCCTACCAGATCCCACAGGAGCCGTGACCACCTCACCATCTCCATCATGTCCCACACTGGTTGACCATGTCCCACATGTCCCAGTCCATGTTCTGACCACACCATGACCTCCAGGTGGCCCATGTTCTCCTGATCTTGGCCACCTGGTCCCGTGTCCCTGCTGTAGGATCACCACCATCCGCCTGGGCAAGCACAACCTCTACACGCGGGAGTTTGGGGAGACGCAGAAGATGGTGCAGAAGTTCGTGCCCCACCCCAGCTATGACCCCACCACCAAGGACAATGACATCATGATGATCAAGCTGGTCACCCCCGTCACCCTCAGCTCCAGGATCCAACCCGTCCCCGTGGCCTCCTGCCTCCCCGAGCCTGGTACCACCTGTGTCACCTCGGGATGGGGGGCCACCACCTCTCCAGAAGGTACTCAGCAACCAGGGCCTCTCCTGGAGGGCTGGGTCATCTCCTGAAGATCTGGGACATCTCCTGGAGATCTAGATCTTCTCCTGGAGGACTGGGTCATGTCCTGGAGGTCTGGGCCATCTCCTGGAGATCTGGGCCATCTCCTGGAGGTCTAGATCCTCTCCTGGAGGTCTTGATCCTCTTCTGGATGTCTAGGTCTCCTCCTGGAGGTCTGTGTGTCCTCCTGGAGGGCTGGGTCATCTCCTGGAGGTCTTTGTCTCCTGCTGGAGGTCTAGGTCCCTTCCTGGAAGTCTAGATCCTCTCCTGGAGGTCTTGATCCTCTTCTGGATGTCTAGGTCTCCTCCTGGAGGTCTGTGTGTCCTCCTGGAGGGCTGGGTCATCTCCTGGAGGTCTGGATCCTCTACTGAAGATCTAAATCTCCTCCTGGAGGTCTGTGTGTCCTTCTGGAGGTCTAGGTCCCTTCCTGGATGTCTGGATCATCTCCTGGAGATCTGGTTCTCCTCCTGGAGGTCTGTGTGTCCTCCTGGAGGTCTGGGTGCTCTCCTGGAGGTCTGGATCCCTTTTTAGAGGGCTGGGTCTCCTCCTGGAGGTCTGGGTCCTCTTCTGGAGGTCTGTGTGTCCTCCTGGAGGTCTGGGTGATCTCCTGGAGATCTGGATCCCTTTTTAGAGGGCTGGGTCTCCTCCTGGAGGTCTGGGTCCTCTTCTGGAGGTCTGTGTGTCCTCCTGGAGGTCTGGGTGATCTCCTGGAGATCTGGATCCCTTTTTAGAGGGCTGGGTCTCCTCCTGGAGGTCTGGGTCCTCTTCTGGAGGTCTGTGTGTCCTCCTGGAGGTCTGGGTGATCTCCTGGAGATCTGGATCCCTTTTTAGAGGGCTGGGTCTCCTCCTGGAGGTCTGGGTCCTCTTCTGGAGGTCTGTGTGTCCTCCTGGAGGTCTGGGTGATCTCCTGGAGATCTGGATCCCTTTTTAGAGGGCTGGGTCTCCTCCTGGAGGTCTGGGTCCTCTTCTGGAGGTCTGTGTGTCCTCCTGGAGGTCTGGGTGATCTCCTGGAGATCTGGATCCCTTTTTAGAGGGCTGGGTCTCCTCCTGGAGGTCTGGGTCCTCTTCTGGAGGTCTGTGTGTCCTCCTGGAGGTCTGGGTGATCTCCTGGAGATCTGGATCCCTTTTTAGAGGGCTGGGTCTCCTCCTGGAGGTCTGGGTCCTCTTCTGGAGGTCTGTGTGTCCTCCTGGAGGTCTGGGTCCTCTTCTGGAGGTCTGTGTGTCCTCCTGGAGGTCTGGACCATCTCCTGGGGGTCTGGACCATCTCCTGGAGGTCCAGGTTTCACCTGGGGACATCTGGGTTATCTCCTTGGCACCTGGGTCCTCTCCCAGATACCTGAGTCTTCTCCTGAACACCCAGGTCCCCTTCTGGGCACCTATGTCCTCTTCTGGACATCTTGGGTCCCCTGATGGACACCTGGGTTGTCCCCAGACACCCAAGTCCTCTCCTGGACACCTGGGTCCCCTCATGGACATCTGGGTCCTCTCCTGGACACCTGAGTCCTCCCCAGACACCCAAGTGTCCTCCTGGGCACCTACATCTTCTCCTGGACACCTGGATCTCCTCCTGGACACCAGTGTGTCTTCTCCTGGACACTCGGGTCCTCTCCTGGACACCTGAGTCCTCCCCAAACACCCAAGTCCCCCCCCGAGAACCTGTTCCCCCGGCCCCCCACCCCCCCCCTCCATTCCAGGGCTTCTCCTCCCAGGAGAAGGTCTCACCCACCATGGACCACATCTCCATGGGGTGACTTTCCACCCCAAACCTCACAACCACCTTCCAACTTCTCCTCCATGTTTTTATTCTCCTGGAGAAACATCTCCAAGTGAATCCACCAGGAGGAACCCAACTTCTTCTGGGCGGTGGGGTGGTGTCAGGGGTGGGGTCCTCCCAGGAGAAGGTCTCACCCACCATGGACCACATCTCCATGGGGTGACTTTCCACCCCAAACCTCACAACCACCTTCCAACTTCTCCTCCATGTTTTTATTCTCCTGGAGAAACATCTCCAAGTGAATCCACCAGGAGGAACCCAACTTCTTCTGGGCGGTGGGGTGGTGTCAGGGGTGGGG